GCACCAGTAGGGACTGGGAGGGACTGGGAGGAACTGGGAGGGACTGGTTTGAACTGGGAGATCCCGGTGGGATCTGGTGGCTCTTGGCAGGGTCATTATTATATCCCGTTATTTATCCATGGATTTGGTGATTTTCGGGATCCGCCGCCCCCCGTTTATTGTCCCGGCTTTCCTCCCGCACCAGTAGGGACTGGGAGGAACTGGTTTGAACTGGGGGATCCCCGTGGGATCCAGCAGGGTCATTATTACATCCCGTTATTTATCCACAGCTCCGGTGATTTTTCGGGATCCGCCGCTCCCCGTTTATTGTCCCGGCTTTCCTCCCGCACCAGGAGGGACTGGGAGGAACTGGGAGGAACTGGTTTGAACTGGGGGATCCCGGTGGGATCCGGTGGCTCCTGGCAGGGTCATTATTACACCCCATTATTTATCCATGGATTTGGTGATTTTCAGGATCTGCCGCCCCCCGTTTATTGTCCTGGCTTTCCTCCTGCACCAGTAGGGACTGGTTTGAACTGGGAGGGACTGGGAGGGACTGGTGGGATGCGGTGGCTCCTGGCAGGGTCATTATTACACCCCATTATTTATCCACGGCTCCGGTGATTTTTCGGGATCCACCGCCCCCCGTTTATTGTCCCGGCTTTCCTCCCACACCAGGAGGGACTGGTTTGAACTGGGAGGGACTGGTTTGGACTGGTTTGGACTGGTTTGGTCTCAGGAGTGCAGGAAGCGGTTGAAGGCGTTGTAGGCCGACTCCAGGTCGAAGAGCATCTGCCGGACCTGGGAATCGTCCAACTCGTCCGAGGCCGACATCCCGCTGAGCGTCTGCAGCCTTGGGAAGGGCCAGGGCGGGATCAGGATCCCCCAAAAAACCTGGGAATGACCCCCCCTTGACCCCCTGTCCCGGCACTCACCACTGGTTGACCTTCTGCCTGCCCTCGAAGTCGGGGGGCAGGTGGCTCATGCGGTTCATGGTCTCCATGAGCTCCCGGAGATCCGGCTGGATCTGCGGGAACGGGAAGTTTGGGGATGAGGATGAGGGTCCCCCCCGCCGGCAACGCTCCCCCATCCCGACCCCTCATCCTGAGCCCAATCCCAATCCCACGTCAGGATCCAAAATCCTGACCCCCATCCCAAATCCCCATCCCGACCCCTCATCC